CAAACCGGCAACCTTCCAGCCACAGGCGCAGATCCTGAGCCACAGAGCCACCACTCCGCCCAGAGCAGACAATACTGAGCTCTGTTGGTTTTGCAGCTCAGGTCTTTATGATCTATGATTGTCGTGTCTTATGAGCGGGAGGTTCATTTCCGCAGCGATGTAAACAGTGTGCATTTACTTGCGACTACAATATATTGGAATTCCGCATTTGGAAAGCGCATTGATTGGAGAAAAATTTGGATGATGCCCAATAAATATTGTATAACCAATAAAATTAAGGAGGTTTCATACAAAATAATTCATCGAATTTACCCAGTTAAAACTCTTGTTACCCAACGATTTAAAATTAATATAGATGACAAATGTGTTTTTTGTGACAATAGCCCTGAAATTATTCAGCATTTGTTTTGGTTATGTCCCAGGGTAAAAATGTTCTGGACTAAGTTGCAGAATTATATAAAAGAAGAGACAAATATTGATATTTGTTTTGTTAAAAAAGATATTCTGTTAAGTTTCAGCCCCAGTGAAAACAATATACAAATTTATTTTGTAATAAATTTAATTATTATATTGGCACGTTATCACATACATAAAATGAAGTGGTCTGGGAGGTACCCTGTGTTTGAGCATTTTAAAATGGAAGTAAAGGGGTATTTGCAGACTATTTCGAAATGCAAAAATATGAAAGCGGTGCGGGCAGTATTTTTATTTAATTTGTTTAATCTTTTTTCATAACATGAATTGATGTAGTAGTATGTACCCCTGACGATATTTCTGTTTGGAATTGTTATATGTACTCTTGTTTGTATTGTAATGTTTGTTCTTTTGTTAAGCATAAATAAATTTTTTTTAAAAAGTAAACAGTGTGCAATCCGAGCGTCATTTGGTTTGTCACATCCAATCACGTACATCTGGAAAGTTAACTTGAGGGTTTATTACCATAGCTGCCCAACATACCCGATGTTTACATCTCATGGGAGGTATAAAAATGTGTGTAACGTCCAGGGACAATATTCTCTGATGTTCCTACATCGCTAGCTCGGAGGTTCTCAATTATTAACCAGCAGAGGCCGAGAAACACGGGTGACTACAAATCCCACAATGCAACACCCACGACACAATGGCCGCCCCGTTACTGCGCATGCGCTTAGCTGAGGACGCAGATTGATGAAACAGCGTTGGCGCGTAAACACATTGTTTTTGTTAGTGGGGGGTAAGAAAAACTCTTGAGCACACGTTTCTTTACGTTATTGTACTACTCTGAATAAAATAATCACGGTACCTTTAGAAGTATTTCTCCAGACGCTTTCGTCGCCCTCTCCCATGTCTTCGAACAGCTATTAGTATCTGTTTCCGGGTCAAACCCGCCCCTCCTTCCGCCTTCAGGGTGCAATATGGCGGCGTCCGTGGTCGACTGCGTGAGTGAGCTTTTTTATAGTGTTCTTTTCAGAGGAAGCAGATCAGAGCTGAATAGGTGAATGTGTGTGCAGACTTTTGAATACAGGCTGTATTGTTTCACGATACAGAGACGTTCTTCGGGTACCTCGCTGCGTGCCCGGCGTCCTTACCTGGACAAGTATCCTTGTGTGAAATCGATGCCTTTAACTTATTACTTGGAATTGGCGACGCGACCTTCTGAACAGAGTAGTTTGATGGGGCAGTGGTTTATCGCGGTGCTTCTTGCGATCCCACGTGTGGCGATACCCTAGTGCCCACACGCGGTCACTTCTCGCTATGCAGACAGTGATACTGGAGTCTGTTTCCCGCTGGGAGAAGACTAGCTCATTATCCATGTGGCACATTACCCGGCTGGGTTAACTCGTGAAGAGCTGAGCTGGAATGAGAAATTGCA